CTTTTACTTTCCTGCTTTAACATTTTTGTTAATTGTTAACAGTTTTATTTTCCTGTTCATTTCCGTTATGCTGAATTTAACCTAAAGATGTAGCTACTCCTCATTACCTTTGGGATCTTCAGTTTTTTAAGTAGGTCACCATTTTCATCATCATCATCATCATGATTAAACCCCTTGTGGACTGGTAAATATATATTAAATATTAACCCAGAGAGAACTAACAGCAGCTTTACATATTGAGCTTCAGGTGGATTGTTGGACTCAACATAACCTACAACCTGCATGTACAGACGCATTGATATCACATGTGTTCACATTCTGTTTTAACTCATTCAGTCCCAAGTAAAACACGGCGTGCAAATGGTTTTTATATTTAAATCAAGCAAAAAGTCGTGTTCTTTAATAATATTTGGTTGTCATTTTTAGGGCAGTTCACCACTAGGGGGCTAGATCTGGCACTCAGCTTTCTCCTGTGGATCCCAGCAGCTGTCAGAATGCAACAGCGGCCACCTGCTGGGCAACAGCTTTGACGGGCTGGCTTAACCAGGAGAGGGTTGCCGACCTGGACAAGGAAACAGTCATGCCTTTTGTCATGTTCGTCTTCGTGGTAAATGTTGCACATGGCACTGATAACATCATGTCTGTCCGGTACCGGACGAGCCATAGCCATCCCTGTGTCTGGAAGATAAACACTCGGTGATTTGGATATGCCTACCCTGCATGCGCAGACTGGACTCGGCGGATGAAATCTCTTGTAGTTCAACGGACAAGAAGGAGATTACCAGCAGGCTCTGTGGAGAGCTTCGAGCAAGGCAGGGCACTTAAGACGCTTGGTCATCCACTGAACCTAGGTCCATTTCCAATCAATGGTCTCGACACTTTCCTGCTATTGGATTACGATGGGCACAGGCAGGAGTGAGGTTGACGAATTGCGCACCTCTTCCTCACTTAAATCCAAGTCCTTGCACAAGTCACTTTCATCCAACTAAACTTTGGATAAAAAGTGGTCCTTGTGACTCATGAATGGACAAGCAACAATAATACCAGAGGAAGACCAGGAAGAACATGATGGATAGATAACATCAAGAGTAGACTAACATCAAGAAAGGGACCCTTTTCCACACCCACATGTGTATTGGGCATATAGAGCTAGATCTATAGTTTATAAACCAATCAACATTCGGTGGATGATGTAGTTAGTATCATGCCAGCTGCCTTTACTTTCCATAACTTTACCTAGTACCCATGTAAGGCTGGGTAGACATAAAAGTCAGTCATTTTTGAAAAACCTCTGACAGAATCTGAACTAAGGACCAGTGAGTCCGCAGTTGTGCATCTAGCCGCTACGCCAATGTGGCTAGCGTCAAGGGTAACCAAACAAATATGGATAGGAGGCAGTCAGGGTTGACACATGTGGCCTTACAAGTTACATTCCTTCAGCCCAAACACAAACACTAATCCAATGTTCTTCAACTGGTGGGCCACGGCCCACTGAAGGGCCGTGGGAAAATCTAAGTGGGCCGCCAAAAATGTCTACTTAATTATGTAATGGGTGGGGTTGGTAGTTTCTCTCATCCATGACTTCTGTTGTTACAATTTAACACCTCACGGATGAGAATCAAACAGGTTCAAATCTCAAAAACATTATTTGACCACATAAAACAGTTCTATATTATGGCACCCAGCAGTTACACAACCTTTAATCCAGTCTGAGCTAGGGAAAAGAACAATAACCCATATAGCAGCTACATGATTCCGTCAAAGGGAGTTTATGTTTTATTAGATATCTTTTTGGGCCTTGAAACATTTTTTTTTCTATGTTTAGTGGGCCAAGGATGAAGAGAGGGAGTGGAACACTGAACTAGATAATACACTTCTCTTCTTTCGCTCTTCCTCTTTTTATAATTTACTCTGAGGGGAAATTGGTCACTAATATTTTATAATATCTGGTTAGTTTGATGTTGGTCACCTTGTGCGAAGGGCACGGGGCTCAGGAACTACCAATCAGAAGTTGAGCTAGTGTGTATATGGGCAGGATCTGGGAAGACTAACATAACTTTTACCTAACATCTTAACCAGGTTGCCAAATAGGCAGAAACTATGTCTTTATTTCGTAGCATTTTGTAATTACTTAGAACTGTACTTATTGTTTGTCACACATATCTTACACTCTGTAGGTTCCAGCTATCTTACACTCTGTAGGTTCCAGCTATCTTACACTCTGTAGGTTGCAGTTATCTTACATTCTTTTGGTTGCAGCTATCTTACATTCTGTAGGTTGCAGCTATCTTACATTCTGTTGATTGCAGCTATCTTACATTCTGTTGGTTCCAGCTATCTTACATTCTGTAGGTTGCAGCTATCTTACATTCTGTTGGTTCCCGCTATCTTACATTCTGTTGGTTCCAGCTTGTGGAGAATATTTTAAATGTCAGATTGACTGAGTTAATTTTTTCCCACATGGTCTGTTAGTTAGTTAAGTCAAGAATTGACATCACAGCACTCGAGGCAATTCCATGCATGCTCCGTCCTCATCTTCAGCAACCAGCGCAGAGTTCCAAAACTGATGGTGCAGGTCACAATCTGGTTATAGGTCCGTCTCACCTTTCCTCTGAGTGTAGTGAGTCGGTCAAACCCTCTGGTTACACTCAGGTGCTTCATTCTCTCCAGGCCATAATAATCTTGTTTCTCTACTGATTCCGTTACTTGTCCCCAAAGGGCCTTGACAACATCTGCCCTGTCATACATTAGTTCACCACCCAGTGGTGCAGATCCAGCCAATCTGTCTGCCAGTTCATTGCCCATCACTCCGGCATAACCAGGAGAAAAGATCATCTGGTCTGTTTAAATATAGAATGTGGCAAATTATGTACATGACCTTTCGTTGTTCATTTTAGAGGTCATCTCCCTCACACATCGGACATGACCTTATGTGCTGTGATCTTCTCTTGAGTATGTCTCCAATTGCTGTTAGGCTAACAATTTCCATTCTGTTCTGGTTGATAAAACAACAGGTGGCTCCCGCTTGGTTTTCATGTCTCGCGGCTCCAATTGTTACACCCAGGGTATGCATTGTATTGAGTGAAAAATCATTCTTCACGAAACCGAAAGTCTCACAGCGTTTAGTCTCTCACATGGCATTGATGATGTCTCTCCTGTCCATAGATGACCCATTCGTGAAATCAAGTTGCAGAAAATCTGACGTAGAATTTGCACTCTAGAATCAAATGTCTTTCTTGTGAACATTTTTTATTAAAGAAACAAAGAAATAATTGATTATTTGATCAAGAGACAAGACCAGAGATTTACCTAATCCAGAAAGGGTTTAAAAAACACATTTAGGATGTACATTTCTCCATTTATAAACTTATTGTTATTTCGTATCATCTTCTTCTTCTTCTTCTTCACTTCCTCTTTTACCGCTGTGGGTGTCGAGGGAGATATAAGGTTCTGTTTCTAGCTCTACTGGCCGCCTCGACCATAGGCACATCATGCTGTTGTAGAGTTTCTCTGATGTTATCCTTCCATCTTGTTCTTGGTCTACCCCGTGCTCTACGTCCTTCTTCTCTTTCCATGTATGCTTTGTATGGTATGGTGTCACAAGGCATTCTCTCTAAGTGGGCAAACCATTTCACTTGCTGTCTTCGTATCATCAATTTTATTTAATGTGACTAAGTGTTTAAAATACTTACTTCACTTAGTCGCTTCTCCTCTACCTTGGGGTGTAGAGGTTTACCAGCGAGATTCCCAAATTTCTTTATCAGCAGTTTTCTTTCTGGCTTTGTTCTATTCCAGTCCTCTGTCAGTTAGAGACAGTCAGATGTTGTCTTCCCAGCGGACCCCGGGTCGCCCTGGAGGTCTGGTTCCCTGGTTCTTAGCCTGCCATGGTGGCAGATTTTCTCCCATTTTGCACACATGTCCAAACTATCTTAACTGACTGACATACTGTCTGATTGCAGACTTTGTCACTTTTTGTCACTTGGCCCACCTTTCTCAGATATCTCATTTCTGAGGCCTAAAGCTGGCTTCTGTGAGCTGTTGTCATTGCCTGTGACTCATACCCGTAGGTCAGGACTAGCACATAGGTAGATGGGTCGGTAAACAGCCATTTTCATCCTCTTGCCAATTTCTTCTCTTTTCCTAGTGTTTTAAATGAAAATGTTTATTTATTATTATATGTGATTTATAATTTTAATTTGACAACTTAGCTGTTGTTCCATTCATAAACACTAGCGGAGAAATGTCTAGCCTGTCAGTTAGAATATTGATCTTTTATTTGTGAGACCAAGGTTCAATTCTCTGGTATGGTGGTGGAGATGTTTGTTCTGTCCAGTACAAACAAAATTGTGGGGGGTGTAAATGTAAAAATGGTGTCAGTAAACACAGAGTGAAGTATTTAATACATTTCCCAGGGTTTGAAACACAGTATGTATCAGCTGACTCATGCAGTGACCTCTGACCCCTATCACTGAGGCTTAAGGAAAATCTGATGGCAACTGTACTAGTCGTGCAGCCTTAAATCCTCAGGCTTAAGACCTACTCTGTCTACACTGCCCTAGAACATGGTCAGTAGAGGCAGTAAAGTTAGTTCATGGGCTCAAATCTGCTTAGAGCCCAATTGTTTTCATACATGACCTTGACTCCCAGGTCGACCCAGTCCTAAAAGGGAAAGTTCTGGAAAGCAAAGATGGCTGGCATGATATGGACCGCATCACCCACCGAGGGCTGATTGGTCTAGAAAAACATGAGTCTTGCAACCTATGTTCCTTGTGTCGCTGGCATAGACAAGGGTCCTTTGCTTTCACTTATTTTATAAAAGGTGGCTGTTATTTCATGTGCTTAACACTTTTTACATCCTTATCAACAAATTACAGATTACTAGACAATGACGGTTATTGTATTTCTTTCAATCTTTTAGGGCTTTCATTTGAAGCCCTCTCATAGTTATTGACGTGATATAATTGTATAGTAATGTTATGAATGACTGTGTCTCGCGACAGCTGTTCCGCTTGAACGCTAAAGGGCAGCTCGGGTTGGGAGAAAGGTGTATCTTGGATGAGAACAAGGACACTCTACATATACGGGTCTGTGACATACAACCAGATGGGCCTTGGGAGTTCAAAAAGGTTAGTGATGGCTTGACAACATCATTATCTTCTTTAATAAAAATCCAGCATCCTAACCCTTGCCAGATGGCCTTGATTTTTATGTCAATCCACAAAACTCAGTTTTTTATTTTCAAATATCACATTTATTTTACTGGCTAGTCCGTGATGTGATTGTTAACAAAAATACGTCAGCTAAGTGTTTTTGTGTATTTTTAAAAAATATGTTGAATTAACAGTCTACTTCACAGCACTCGGGATACTCCCTATAAGTGCTCAGTCCCCATCTTCAGTAGCAAGCGAAGAGTTCCAATTCCGATGGTACTAGTAACCATCCGATTGTATATCCATCTAATTCTTTCCCTGAGTTAAGCGGGTGCCAGATCCCCTGGTAACTCCTCGCAGCGCCATTCTCCTTAGACTGTAATGATCTCTCTGCACTGTTCACTCGCTCCCAAATGGCCCTTACAATATCTAAATTGTCATACATCAGTTCACCACTAAGTGGTACAGAGCTAGCCAGTCTATCTGCCTGCTCATTTCTGAACACACTGGCCTACCCTTTTTTTTATATTTATGATATTGTAGATTTGCTGATGGAGGCTGTCTGGTTACTTCTTGTTTGTGTTTGTAATCTTATGGAACTGACTGGTTCTGCTTTTTGTTTGCTTGATATCTTTTCAGTTTATTTAGTCTTAGTTTTAGTCTTAGTCGAGGTTTCAGCTTTACTGCAGTCAGGTGTCCCCATACTTGTTCTGTTCCTGTGCCAGTAAATATCAAATGAAATGTTCCTCACTGTCCCATTTAGAAAGAAAAAAAATGGTGAATAATTAGTCCCGGCATGATCCAGAAATATGTGCATGCAGTAAATGCATGTGGCAGTTGCTAGAGGTGTCAACAGCCAACAGTCGCCACCAGAAATGCAGTTTGTCGTTGATGGAAGTAGTCAGGCACGATAAGCTGGCTATACACATGTAGAATTATTACATAAGGTATGTATCACTAGCTCACACATAAACTGGCTACCAGCCATATTGAATGCCATGACTCAACCGCTGCACAAATGAAAGGCATTTCACATGAAAAGCACAGCTTACAGTGCTGCACCAAGCACCAAACTCAGTGGCTCAGGCAGGGAAACCGTTGTTTATTTAGTGTTCCGTATTATTGCTGTTGATTCCATGTGTGGCTTTTGGGACCCCATTTTAGGGGGAAAAGAATATGGACCCACCACCTCCGTAACAAGCATGTGGTGAAAGATGACTGGTTTGGGGTTTGTTGAAATCTGATGTGTTGGATAGGCGAAGATGCCGCAGTCTATCTGTAAATAGCAACATACCAGCTGCAGTTTTAAGGGCAATGCTGAAGAAGAAGAAGGAAGTACTATTGATGATTGTCTGCCATGCTATCATTTTAGCCTACCCAGCATTGTTTGTGTCTGTGCCTCTTGTATCACTTATCTTTCCCAACAACATTACTGCACTCTGTAACAGTGCCACACCTCAACACACGGCTGAAAGAACACTATGTCTTCCTTGTAGTTACGTCGTTAGTGTATATATTTTACATTTGATTTGAGCATTCTAATGAAATCTGGCTACCCAGCATTGTTTCTTTATGTCTGTGCCCATTGTATCACTTATCTTTCCTAACAACATTACTGCACTCTGTAACAGGGCCACACCTCATCACATGACTGAAAGAACACTGTATCTTTCTTGTAGTTATGTGTAATGTTTATCTGTCATTAGTGTATATATTTTACATTTGGTTTGAGCATTCTATGAAATCTGGCTAGATATGCTGCACAGTATATGTTGCCTCTTTGAAAGTATTACACTCCTGCTGTTCTCATTGTGTGTATTATCTCTTTAAGTATTAAAAACATTTCTTCCAATGCTGAAAGATTTCACATCTTCTAACATAATTTCTGTCAAGGATATTCAAGTGTGTGAGGTTACGAGCAAGCTGGTAGATTAGCTGTTACAGCTTCTCTGAGAGGTGAGCTGCTGTATAATAAAGCGGATGTGGTGAAGGTTCTATTGGATCAAATGGATGGTGCCACAGAACAGATAGATAATCCATACGCTGAAAGATTAATTCAGTGGTGTGTATGTGTGTGGGAGGGAGGGGGAGCTGGAGGATATACAGCATTGAAGGAGAACAGAGGCCGACTTTTCATCAGGTTGCAACTGGTACTGATAGCATATTGACTCTTCGTTGGCTACTGAAGAAGGGTGTTGGAAAGAACGTATGCTAATCGTGATTTTGGAGTGACAAAACTTGAGAATATGTTAAAACAAAATTGGTAGTTTGTTCTTGAACTGGTCTGATGGGAGAGGCAGCACTGAGGTCGCTTAATTCTTTGGTTTCAACAGACGCCTGGGGGTGCGAATTTCTATCTCATTTCCTTATGCAGCATAATTATGCTCTCTTACGTTTAACATGTAGTAAGAACATGCTCAACAAATCTGGCTTCTGATATGGTAATAACCACTGTGTAAATTGTCGCTTTTGAAAATAGATGTGGGGATGTCCTGATGGCAGTAATATCAATTTTTGATTCGTTAATTCGTTCACATCTTTTAAAGGAGATGAAAAACACACATATCTGTTCCTGAAGTTCTGTGACATTGATTGTAGTTGATAATCAACCTGTCTGTTGTTGGTGTTGTTTTCCAGGAAACAGGACAACTCAGGCACACCACACTGGACAAATGTGTGGGCACCTCAAGTGATGACAAACTCCACCTGCAGCCCTGCGACCCAGCGAATGCATCCCAGCAGTGGGAGTTTAATGAAATCTACCCATGGAAGAACTGAACTTAGGGACTTACCTGTGACTGGCAGCCACGGAACAGCAACTGGTTGCCTTAAACATCTAGAAACTGAATCAGCAGCAGGTTGCCTAAAAAATCTAAACATTGTCAAGTGGTTGCTACATACATCTAAACATGTTTTTGGGTGGTTGGATCACAAATTTAAACACTATAAGTTGGTTTCACATGATTTTAAATATATCGGTTTTTCATATGTAAAATAATGCCCTGTGATTTTAACTTGCATTGTTATGGTTTTTAGGGTTTCACTGTTATGGGATTCAGAGTATCAGTGTCATGGGATTTAGGGTTTCACTTTTATGGGATTCAGAGAATCAGTGTTATCGGATTTAGAGTATCAGTGTTATGGGATTTTGGGTTTCACTTTTATGGGATTCAGAGAATCAGTGTTATGGGATTTAGGGTTTCACTGTTATGGGATTCAGAGTATCACTGTTATGGGATTCAGAGTATCAGTGTTATGGGATTTAGGGTTACAGAATTTAAAGTATCAGCGGTATGAGGTTTTGGTGTCCGAGCTAGAGAAGATCAGATGCCAGGTACTGAGCACAAAGACTGACATAAGGTCATGACATAAAACTGACAAACAGTTTCATGAGTTTTCAAATATTTTCATGGGATTTCAAATGTATTGGGTTTCAAACCATCTCTTAAGTTTTTAAACAGTTTCATGAGGTTTTAAGTTAATTGGGTTTCAAACAGTTTCATGGGATTTCAAATTCATTGTGTTTCAAACTGTTTCATGGAGTTTTGAATTCATTTGTTTTTCAGGCAATTTCATGGGGTTTCAAATTCATTGGGTTTTCAAACAGTTTCATGGGGTTTCAAATTCATTGGGTTTAAAACAGTTTCATAGGTTTTCAATGTCATGGGGTTTCAAATTAATTGGATTTCAAACAGTTTCATGGGGTTTCAGTTACATGGGGTTTCCAATTCATTGGGTTTCAGTTACATGGGGTTTCCAATTCATTGGGTTTCAAACAGTTTCATGAGGTTTCAAATTTGTTGGGTTTCAAACAGTTGCATGGGTTTTTAAACAGTTTCATGGGGTTTCAAATTCATTGGGTTTCAAACAGTTTCATGAGGTTTCAAATTCACTGGGTTTCAAGCATTTTCATGGGATTCCTTTTTTTTTTCCACAGACTTTAGAAAGATTATACTTATCTTGATACCAGATATTGGTTTCATGGGATTAAGAGTCATCACTTTTGTGTGGTTTCAGATATTTTGATATTGTATGTTGGATCAATACTTACCATTTTCAGTTTATGAAGTCTGTGTGCCCATAGTTATATCCCAGATAAATATTATATTTATATGTATATATCTTCTTCTTCATTCACCCTTATAAGGGCAGTTGACACATTGTATTGCAGTTTACAGCTAGGCTGCTCTGTCTGGTCCTTTTGGCCCAACACGTCCAGTTTAGGCAAACCTTGAATTAGTCAGTCACCTTTTATAACATGCTTTAGAACATCAAGACATGGACAAACAGCAGTCTGAGAGAGTCTACAACTAGGACAAGAGACGGAGCATGTTGGAGATCCACTGAAACAAACCTTCATTGTGGAGATAGCACTTGATTGATGATAACAGGTCTGGTGGGGGAGGGGGGGGGGGGTCTAGTTTTATTTGTTCCTTCACAATGTCGTCCCAGGACGCAGGTAGGAATATCAACCTCTTAAAAAATGGTTATCATATGATACACACATACAGAGCGAATTCTAAATTACATACAGAGGTAGCAAAACAAATGGTTTGCCTACTTAGAGAGAATATCTTCTGGCACTGTGTCATACTAGGCGTACATCAACTGACTAGAATAAGGTATAAGGTAGACCAAGAACAAGAAGGAAAGACAACATCAGAAGAACTCTACAATAGCATACAATAGTGTATGTGGTCGCGGCGGCCAGAATCGCAAGAAGCAGCAGAACCTTATATCTCCCTCAACGCCCAGGTTGGTTGAAGAGAAGGTAAAGAAGAAGAAGCAGAAGATTGGCAGATCTGCAGAATGTTCTGGGGAGACGAGGTAATGATGAAGGAACTAGTCACCACACCTCATATGTCATGTTGCAGCCTAAAAAATGAAGACCCAACGCTTTCACCCTATCCATATTATCTGATATGGGACTACCATTCCAGTTATATGTATGTAAATACATACACACATGATTCACAGACATAAACACACATAAACTCATACATTCTCATATATACATTCACATACATACCTACATGTACACACACATACATACATAGATACATTAACACACACATACATTAACACAGACATACACACATTCACATAAAATACATATGTTCACATGTACACATATTTTCACATGAACACATGCATCTACTTAAATACATTCAAATACATACACACATATTCACATGCACACATAAATTTACATACACTCATACATTCACAAATTCATATGTTCACATACAAACGTCCACATGGACTTACTTACATACATACATTTACATACGCATATGTACATCATAAGAGTATAAATAAGCTTAGTAGAACACACAGATCAGAGTTCTCAGGACTGAGCACACCTCCATCAAATGGGTCTTACTAACTCTGTATGTGGTTGTGGCACACCAGAGCAAACTAAAAAGCATGACTTACTAGATTGCCCAGACTGTTTCAGTCAAAGAGAAGAAATGGGGCCCACAGGAGTTGAGTTGAGTCAAGAATTGACATCACAGCACTCAAGGCATTCCCATGCGTTCTTCATCCTCATCTTCAGCAGCCAGCGCAGAGTTCAAAAACTGATGGTATCGGTCACAATCTGGTTATTTGTCTTGCCTTTCCCCTGAGTGTAGTGAGCCGCCCAGACCCCCCTGGTTACACCTGGGTGCCTCATTCTCTCCAGGCCTACAGGAGCGACCCTACATGATAAACTACAGGGCACTAGTAAAGATCTCTAGTGCACCTTCCTGTTTATGACCCATAATGGAAGGGATGCATTTCAGACAATCATTACAAAGGAAGAAAAAAATTCTCTTTCTCTGTCTTTCTCTCTCTCACTAACACACACAGAGTAGGACCTCAATATCCACTTACATATTTTGTTTCTGTAGTCACAGTTATTACAAATTAAATGCATTGAGCTGGTTTACTCTTCCAGTGTGGGTAGCAGGTGATGTCCTCTAGTCTTAGTCATGGTGCTTTGTTCCTCACAAGAAGTCTTTATTCACCTTAGACACATGTGGCTTCCTGTGCCCTTTCCAGATGTATTATTAACTTTTTTGTCCCAGATGTTACATAAACTCCCTTTGTCTCGTGGTGGTATTATTTAAACCATTTTAGACGCAAAATTCAAGTCCTGGAACAAGACTCAATTCCAGAATTGGACGAACAACCAGGATTTTCTGTCAGAGTTTACAGCCAGTAAACACGAAGGAAAGAAGACCCAGATCTGTATTACTTTATACAATAAATCCTTGAAGAAATACTTGCTAAAAAAAAAAAACAGACATTAAGTAGTTCCTTGAGGAAGACACTAAAATACAATTACATATAGTGGGAGCTCGTCCGGGATTTTTTAATTTTTGTGAGAAGAGTACAGTAATTTACTGTGTATATTTTATTATTTAATGCTGGTGCTGTCTTGTTGTGTGTAATTTATCACTGACATTTTATCTTAGATGTGTATGTGGGGTGAACATTATTTTATATGGATGATTACAGTGGTTGAATACAGTACATGGTTCCATTAACTGTGATAGGTCTTGGAACATATTGACTAGGAATTTGTTTTTAAACTGCCTGTATTTACCAATTGTATGGTGTCAGCAGGCGGTGTTTTTGTGCCTGAGGGCCACATGGCTAGTGATGTTTCCAAGGACTATGCAGGTGAGGATTTGTTTGTTTGCCAACAACAGAACAAAACCACAACCTTACCAAGAATTCGAACCTGGGTCTCCTGCATGAAAGCCTAGCAGTCTTAATCATCCAGGCAGCTACGTATCATTGGCTGGGAATACAAGGGTTATACCTACACGCACATGCAAGAACTGTGCACACACAGTACACATGCATGCATACAGTACACATAAATATATAGTTCCACTAAATATGTAGATTTTGGAACATATTGACTAGAAATACAGGGGTTCTCTTGGTGTTTCATACATATGCACGTTTTTGCACACAACACATACATGCATACACTCTCATCAGTGAAGAACTATGGAGAAAGCAGATATCATAATGCTGTACGAACTAGGATAGTGGATGATGATGCTGACACTAACACAGTTGCATGATATGCGAGTAAAGTATGGCCTGTCTGTGCCACCTTCGAAGCAGAGATAGGAGGTGTTATATCCAGCTCCTCATAGGAGCAATCTGTAGATGTACCTTGGACTGGCTGCTGCATCTGAGGACTCAACATGCATGAGAATGCCTTGTGTGCAGTAATGTTGATTGTAATAACATAAGACATTTATGGGTATCAAAACTAAAAGGTAACGGGTGACTCATAGCCTGACCTCGTGAACTCTATCACTGAGGCTTGTGTGAAAATTTGGCATCAGTTTGGTTTTCAAAAAGCAATTGGGGTTATAAAAACACACCCCTAAATGCTATTTTTTAGTTACTATATTCATAACCTTGTCTAGACTGATGGACATGGGGGTTGCAGCCTGGAGCTGCAAGAAATGAACATTTCACTAAGGGGACAAGACGTTTCTTTAACCAACACAGAACCTGCGTCATCAGTCATTTTACACTTGTGGACCTTTTGAGGAGGAGATTGGAGCATCTATGGATCTGTCCAGAGTGCTGTGATGATAATTCTTTCTAATCACTATTTACTAATATAAATATGAATATATATATATATATATATATAATATATATATATATATATATATATATATATATATATATATATATATATATCAGCATCTGTGGTTTAGACAGTGCGAATGTGCTGTTCAGAAAGCAGTATCAAACTACTGAAT